CCAACTGCTTTTTAACAGCAGTCAGATGATGAAACTCTTTATTATATCTCTGAGAAAAATATGCTTTCATTTAATTGCCTTACAAACCCTGGGCTCTTAGAGACTGGAGAAGAGTAAGTAAGAATCTGAAAATCATTGCTAATGTCAGTTTCTTCTCAAGAGAAAAGTCAATACAGTGTAAACTTCACACATTCATAAGCATCATTCAGATGGTTTTGGACAGGTCTTTCCGAAGTTATTTCATTAGCAATGCTTATTGCTTCTCTAAATATCAACTTCTTGCCAGCTCCTAATATTGTAGGCTGCTTTTGTGAACTTACTGCCAGCTGAATGGGAAAATTGCTATACATGCTGCGTACTTTGGGAGTCTGATATATTGGACTGTGTAAAAAGTCATTTCAGAGTTTCAGCAATGGAAAGTACTCATTAAAAATCTGACACATTAACAGTGGCAATTTACATTTCAGGACTCATTGCACAAAATTTTCAGATCACTCAAACATTCAGAGTTTCTGCTCAAGAGTTGTCTGCTAAAAAAGATATATATCAGTTAATAGTACCAAAACAAATGATCATCAAAAATTTCACTAGTGCAAATCGAAACTACTATTGATTAATAAGGTCTGTTTAAGAAGGAAGCTCAGTACAGTATGCTGAGTGAAGTCAGATACAGAGTACTGAAGAAAGACCCACAAGAGCATTCTCCAAGGAAAGCAGAGTTTATTTGCCATTAAACATTGGCCTCTTCCTCCCACTACTACTGGCATGTGTAAAATGCCAGTGAAGGCAATGGAAATTTACTTGCAGACTTTGCAGTTTACTTCTTATTTGTTTTTCAGATTTATGATTTCTACTTTAAAAGCTACGTGCCTTAGTCTCAATTTCTTGCTTGCTGTATGTTAAATCAAAGTCATGTTCTTGACTTCCATGGACTTGCTCTGTTTGATGTTTCAATTTCATGAATAATAATTGTTGAAATAAATTTTATGCAATAATCAGAATCCATGAGACCATCATTCCTTTCACTGTCCATCCTGAATTTTCTCCTGTGCCTTTGTTCCACACTGCAGCTACTGACTTTCAGTCAAGTGGTTCCAACCTATTGTAACACAATTCTTAAGGAAAACTTGTGCTTCAGTTTATGAATTGGAAATAGATTTTGAACTCATTTTCCTGGATTTGCCCTAGCTCTCTACTTAATTATTGTTTTAATGCTATGGATTGAGCCTTTATTCATGGCCACAAAACATCCTAGTGCTACAAGCTGCTAGCCTGAAGCCTCAATATACACACTTTTCTGACTAAAAATGTAAAATGACAAGTGGCCATACTACTCTGAGTATGTCCTTCTGGAGCAGAAAGAGCTCTCAGCAAACTAACGTGTCTTTTTTTGAACATGGAGGAAAGTTGAGAAGTTGACAGTCTGGAGAAGTTACCACCCTGCTGATAACATATAGTGCAAATGACAGGAAACCTTTCTATAGGCAGACACGTTCGTTTGGCTTTGGCTGGTAGGTCACTACTGAAGTGGTAGAGGTATGCTGGCCTAGGGATAGCTGGAAGTGGAAGTCCTAAGGAACAGGATCACCTGTGACTGATTTAATTTAGAATGATATTAAACAACCAAGTCCAACAGAACATTTAAAAAGCTGAGCATTCTCTACTGCAGCATTAAGTTGCCTTGTGAACTGCATGAACTGGAAGGTAATTCTCCTGGGACACATGAGCATAGACTAGCTTTAAGACGGAAACTTCTGATTCTTCTTCTATGTTTGCTGTTCTTAATGTTTACTGTTAACAGATTAATCACAAAAGCACCAACTTTTGTGATCCCACTATCCATCACACTGCCTTTTGCTTTAGTGAAGTGGTGCTTGTAATTTTGTTGAAATGGAGTACTGTGAATGCAATTTGATAGAAAAAAAAAGTCCAGAGAACAAAAGCAGAACCACATTTCTCCACATGAAAATTTGGGATATTTAAAAAACAAAACAAACATTATTTCTGTTACTTTAAGTAGACAATAAATAAATAAATAGATAGATAGATAGATAAATAGATAGATAGATAGATAGATAGATAGATAGATAGATAGATAGATAAGAAAAGCTAACCAAAGATGCTCAGGTTTCTTAATATTATAAGTAAGAATAAAATAAAATCCCAGCAGGTTTGAAATGGCCATTACAAAACAGAAGTGAGAGACTTATATCAAAAACTTCTTTGTTCTTGTACTGCAAAGCACATGGAATTGCTCCAAACGTCATCACTCAAAGTAGCACCTTCTCAAGGGTAATTGTTTCATAAGGGAAAGCGAAGAGAATCCACAACCAGAGTTCAAGTTTCTTACAGAGGGGGTGTCCTTTCACAAAAATGAACAGAAGTTCCTGAACTTCCAAAGGGGTGTTGGAGGGAGTAAAAAATCCCTTCCAGTAAAAGAGCAGAGCAAGTCTGTGATCACCTCATGAGGCTGAATGTGTACAAGTCTATGGGGCCAATTGACATGCATCCCAAGTTTCCTGGTGGATTTGGCTGATGTGGTTGCCAAATCACTCTCCATCACATCTGAAAAGTTGTGGTTGGCTGGTGAAGTCCCTAGTGACTGCAAAAAGGGAAATATCACTCCCATTTTTAAGAAAAGGAGAAAGGAGAACCGGGGAAAGTACAGGCTGGTGAATGTCTGTACCTGAGGACATCATGGAGCAGATCCTCCTGGAAGAGATGCTAAGGCACATGAGAGATGAGAAGTGATCTGAGACAACCAGAAAGACTTCACCAAGGGCACATCATGCCTCACAAATCCGGTGACCTTCTATAATAGAGTGATAGCATCATTGGACCATGGAAGAGCAAGTGGCATCCTGTACTGGAACTTGTGCAAGCCTCTGACATAGTGCCACGCCACATCTTTACTTCTGAATTGGAAAGATACGGATTTGAAGGGTGGACTGTCCAGTGGATAATGGATTGGCTGGATGGTCATAGCCAGAGAGTTGTTGCCAGTGGCTCTACCTCTGGGTGGAGGCTGGTCACATGCAGTGTCCCTCAGGGATCCATCTTGGAACTGGTGATCTTCAACATCTTTATCAATGATTTAGACTGTAGGCTTGAGTGTACCCTCAGCGAGTTTGGTGATGACACCAAGCTGAGTAATTGAAGAATACAGTACAATAGAAAGAAAGCCACTCAGAAGAATCTGGACAGATTTGAAAAGTGAGCCCACGAGAACTTAATGAGGTTCAATAAGGCAAAGTGCAAGGTGTTGCACTTGGGTCAAGGCAATCCTAGAGATGAGCACAGACTGGGAAATAACTCCTAGAAAGCAGCCCTATTGAGAAGGAGTTGGCCTAGCCCAGGACCTGCTTGCTGTGAAGCTTCCTGGCTCTTCTCCTATACCTCCACAGAAACCAGATGAGTTCGTGAGATCAATGACTTGAACTTCAAACCATGCTGGACCTGTGGTGGTGACTATCTCCCTCTTGTTTCCTACAAAGACTCCTTGCTTCTATTTCCTATCCTTTCTATCATCCTTCTTCCCTTTCCCATCTCCTTGAATGACTAGGATTCGTAATACCTAACATAGGATTCATCAGACTAACATTTGAACTGGTGTTTCTTAATCTCACCTTGGATGTATGTTTATCTCAAAGAACCTCCTCTCCCACCTATAAATTGGAGTGAGATGATTAGGAAGAGCCTTGCTAGGTGATCAAGAGAAGGAATCCTTCTCAGCACAACTGTGAACACACTTGAAATATTGTTTCCTTTTCTGTGCTCCCCAGTAGAGAAAGATATTGACATGCTGCAGTGAATTCAATAAAGAGGTGCTAAAATGACTGGTGGATCAAAGGATTTAATGCACAAGAAGTTTACATAGCTGGGACTGTTCTTTCACAAGAAGGCTTGGGGGTCTCATCAATGAATTCAAATATTCAATGGGACCATTGAAAAAGATAGTGCTAGGCCCTTCTCAGAGGTGCCAAGTGAAAGAAAGGAAGATAACGGGATCAAACTAAAATAGAGGAAATTCAAGTTAAACATAAGGAAAAGACTGTTTTAGTAGTGTCGTGGTTTTATGATTTTAGTTATCAGTACTCCACAGCATAACATCATGTAGTGCACTGAAAGTTAAAGAGTTAATGCTACAGTTCCATGGATTTTTGACAGTTCTGTGTACCTGTCTCAGAAGATAAGAACTACAGCTCCCAGAAGACTTCACTATTCTTTCTCCTTTTGGAGGGAAAGATAAAAGTTACTGGTAGTCTTGAGACTTTTTTGTAATTTTCTGCTTGTCACCATGTTGTGTGCTCCCTTGCCATCTCACCTTCAGCACTGGGGAAAGACCTTCAGTTTTACAGACTCTCTCATTTAACTGATTTGTTAGCTTCAATTCCTATTATTTTGTGTTATCTCCCATTCCAGATCTTATTTATTAGCATACTTTTCTCCTTTAACTTGTTACCACTGTTTTGTTTCTAGGCCTATCTTCCTACATTTTCCCAATTCCTTTTCCCATGGATCTCCCCACCCCATTAGTCACAGACCCAGTCTAGACTGGGCCAGAAACATGTCGAGTATAAGGGTGATCAAACACTAGAACAGGTTGTCCAGGTAACATGTACAATATACATTCCTGGAAACATTGAAAACCAAGCTGGACAAGGCCCTGGAAAACCTGTTCCAGCTGACCAAGCTGTCAACAGGAGCTGGATTATGTGGTCTGGGGGGGTCCCTTCCAACCACAGCCATTCTGTGATAGAACTTCCAGCTGGTAACACCAGACTCTTTGACAACAGAAGTAGTAACAGATGCTAGGACTTATCATTGCTTCTATGTTGGTAATTCAGTAGTCTCATACCCCTGCTATCTTCCATGAAAAGCTACAGAAGTATTTTGGTGTTCTTTCTTTTATCATACAAAGTCATGGCAGTCATGCAATATATTTTTGTTAGTCCTATGAAAAAAACTATTGTTGCAGAAAGGGAATTCAGAAGTCTTACTCATTTCCATGTATTCTGGAGTCAGCCCAGTGAAAGGTTCCAATCTGTAGTCAAGATCCCACTGCTGGGGGTCCTTTGGTTGGTTGGTGTCCATTTCCTTTGGTTCAGTTCTTTCATCCTTCATCTTCCTGAAAAGCTTCTTTAATTTCCTGAGGAGCAAAAGGTAAGGCCAAATCTTTTTTCCTTTATTTTTATTTTTTTTTATTTCCCCAATATGATCTGTCCTAAATCTTTGTACTAGAACATAAAATGAATATCACGTTGCTTTGGTGCCACAAAGACTTGCTTTGCAACTTCTCCTAAGCTGCTGCTTATTGCCAGTTAACAGGATGCTGAATGAAGTGGTTGCTGTGTTCCTGTATCAGAAGAAAGTTACAACACCATAATATGCTATGATAAAGTTGAACCCCGTACTTCATAGTAATGACTTGTCTCTAGATACATATTGAACAAGCGTATTTCTGAAGCTTAAGCACCTTGGTCTTAAATAATAGTAGTAGTTAGTAATGTACATCTCCTTCAAGAAGGAAAAGCAGGCAAAAAAAATCCTGGAAGGTAATGTAAAACCTTCATACTTTATATGTTGCACAGGTGCACTTTTCTCTCAACATGAAATTTGGAAAATTCCATATAGTTGTGGTCAAAATGACTGAATGTATATCTCTGTACAGACTCAAAAAAATAAAAATTAAAAAAGGGTCAGCTATGGGACTGGGGGAAAACAGAACAGGACACTTTCCAACAGGCGAAACTGGCAGTTAACCAAACCCAGGCATTGGGTGTATTTGCTCCTACCCTCCCAGCCGAGTTGGACGTTCATATCACTCAGGATGGCTTTGGCTGGGGCCTGTGGCAATGCCAGAGGTCTGTTCGGACCCCCATTGGTTTCTGGTCTGCAATGGAGCAGAAGAAAGATACAGTATGACTGAAAAACAGCTATTGGCTGCCTACTCTGCATTACAGGCAGTAGAGCTGATAATTCAAATGGCTGAAGTTTTACTTAAGACCACTCTGCCGATTCAGGGGTGGGTGAAAGATCTGACCCACCTTCCTAAGACAGGGGTGGCCCAAGCAAAAACAGTGGTGTGATAGGTCGCCTACCTCTGCTGGAGTAGTCTGACTTCATCATCATTAAAAGAACTTCAGAAGATCCTATTCCCAGAGGCATATCACAGTGATGCACCATAAGAAACATTGGTCGCTCCACCAGAGAGGAGCCCGGTTCAGGGCCCTCTATCTATTTTTATTTTTGGTGTAATATCCTGCTCTTCCAAACTCTCTTGTATATTTCTTATTTATAACACCTATATATATTGATTTTACAGGGAGGGGAATGTCTGAAAGAATGAGTAAATCAGTGAATTTTTAAAGGAGATGTGTCATGAACTGGGCTTTGACTATTTAGGCCATGAGACTTGCTTTGATAAATCTGACATTCTGAGAGATGATGGGATTACTCGAGTGATTACTGCGGAGCTCCCACTTATCCCAGCTCTGTTTGGTCTGGATGCAGGTTCCCTTGAACATGGTAAAACTCTCCTTTTTTTTTAACTGCCTCTGATGAAGTATGACAGTAATCTCTATCATGTATGGAGAGGAATGGTAAAGGGTTACTCCTGAATAGGTACTTCACATGCCAATAGGGAGACATCCCAGGTATTGCAGGACAGGTTTCATGTTTGCCAGAAGTAACATAGTAAGGGAGTGCTTGAGAGAAGCTCCTCAAGAGAAATGGGGTGCTAGTCCCTATTAAGAGGAGTGCTTGAGAGAAGTATCACCCAGGCTGTACGTCTTCCCAAAAGTAATGTGGTGAGTTGGCACTTGAGAGATTCAAGGCCCCAAAGGGAAACTGGAAAGCTTCATTTATTGGTCATTTATTGATAAATGTGTTGCACTATGGTTGCTGGTATTGTAATTTTGTATGTGAGTATTACTATAACGGCGCTGACCTTTTCATTTTTTGTCTCTCCGTGCTGTGTGTATGTGGTAGATCTGCAGTCTGTTAAGCTTTGCTTTTTACTTTTGTAGCTGCAGCAGTGTGTGAAGGCAATTTGTACATTCCAAACATTCCAGACATGGTGAAGTCAGTTGTGGAAATTGCAGAGGAAATTTGTTGAAAATTGTAACAATTGATGGATTGGAGAAATGATTAAAATTATTTGTGAAAACTTGGAATCTGTGGGGAAAAAAAAGAAAAAAGAAAAAAAGAAAAAAAAAGTAAAGTTCCCATCTTGCTAGGGGATATTGGTTATGGGTTATCCTTGTAGGAATTCAGTGTACAATAGTGCCTTGAGGGAGCCGGCAGACTCCATTATCTAGCAATTTGGGGAGGGACAATTGTTCAGTATAAAGTGTATTTCAATTATTGTGTATTTAGGTTGTTTTGATTGGTTGCAGTTTGCCAAGACAAATTAGTAGTGTGAGGAGAAACCCCAGCACCACCCCCCATGGCTCGTGAACAGAATGCTCACAGAGATGAAGAGCCTTGGTCCAAGGATCTTGCAAACTACTGTTTTAAAAACAGTGTTACCTGTGGGATGGGGAGGAATATACTAGAAGTGAGAGAATGTCCTTATCTGCAGAGATCCAGGAAACCCGATCTCTCAGAGTTAGCACTGGAAGCCTCCAGGGCTGGAGATGAAACTGAAATTCGGTAGACGCTATTGGTTTTTGTATTTACTAGGGCCACTAAAACCCTTAATTGGTTGAGATTGGTTGGAGAGAAAACTAAAATTTTAAAATCGGGTCTTTCCAAGGCAGGAGAGGTGCCTGGAAGATCAAAGAAAGCTGAGCCAGTTTGTAATGAAAAATGAAAAAAATGAGGGATTGATATAGGTTGATTTGTTTAGCAAAAAGGGATTAGTTTAAGAACCAATATATTAGTTTTACAAAATGAATCCACAAATTCCATAAATAGTTTAAAAACTTTCCATTTCAACTTTAGTGGGTGAATAGTCTTTTTTCCCTCGATAATTTGCACTGGGAACATAATAGAATAATCTTTTGCCTCAAAACATACGAAGACATTTTCTGTAGGGTCCACACACATTGCTTTTTAAAAGTAGCTCACTATGGCCTAATAAGCAGTGGAAATCTTCCAAACTAGGTAAAAGTGGATGGAAGTGGATCGAACAGTGATGGTGAAAAAATGGGAAGAAGTAAAGACAGAAAATCCCCAGAATCCAGACACCGCAGATGAATGCATATTTCTATCAAATGCTTTTAAGGTTATTCTTTCTGTTAATGCTTTTTCTTTTGTAGAAAACTAGTAAATTTTAGAGTGAGAAAACTAGATAGAAATTAAGTAGCTGGAGCACCTTTATCTAGAGAGGAAGGAAGTTCAGTGACTCAGATTCTCCTGTTTGCTGCTCTGGGGAAAGAGCACTGAGAGTGTGATGTTTTCTTCATATTCCTGCAGTATGTGCACATAATGAAAGAACTTCTCATATTAATGGGCAGAGGATACAAGAAGAAGGCAAGAAGAGAATCAAAGTACTTAAATTTCACATCCTCATCTACAAGTCATTCTTTGCTGGTCCACCCAAAATTCCTAAATTCTATGGAAGCTTCAGCTGTGTTTGTTAAGTATTGAGTTAAAAAAAAAAAAAAAAAAAAAAAAGGCAGCAAGTTACCCCATTAATTAAGAATAATTTTTGGTGAAATGCAACATACAACATGGCAGCTATGGTGTGGCTTTAAATTGATTTCATTATCTCTTGGCATTCTCATCCATCATAGTTAAGAGCTTTCTGAAATTAGTGACAGACACTAATGTTAAGAGGCCAAAATTGCTGTTAAACTGAAATAAAAGGTAATTTTGTGATTGACTTTAATAGGACCAGGATTTTTCCTAGAGAGTATATCATCAAGGTCGTGGACAGAGAGTAATAAAATATATTTTTTATTTTATTTTATCTCGTGGGGTTTTTTTGTTTTCTTTTTTTGTTTGTTTTCTTGTTATTTTTTCTTTTTTGTTTTCTTTTTTGTTTTGTTGTTTTTGGTTTTCTTTTCCTTTTTGCTTTGTTTTCTGCTTTTTTGTTTTCTTTTTTTTTCTGTGTGTGTGCGTGTGTGTGTTTGCTTCTTATTTTTATTTATATATTTTTTTCCCTAGCAAGTTGAGAAATTCAGAACAGAAGAAAAGTACTTTAGTTTAAGGTTCTCCAGACCTGCAGCAGGACAATTTGCATGGAAAAAGAAAAAGAATTATGGTATGTGACAGATCTGAGTGAACCATTGGATAGTAATGTCCGTAAAACTTCTGAATTCCAGCTCCAAGAATTCTAACACTGTTACATTAATCTAACTGTTGTGATATTCTTCAATGCAGAAATGGGAAAAGAAATTGCGGAAAGGTTTAAAACACCAGCAAGTCACGTCTTTCTGGTCTTGCTGATTGGCAGCACAGCCTTCAGGTGTGTCAGCCAATCCTCCCACTTTGCATCATCAGCAAACTTGCTGAGGGTGGCCACTATCCCCTCATCAAGGTCACTGATGAAGATGTTGAACAAGACCGGACCCAGCACCAACCCCTGAGGAACACCGCTGGTTACAGGCCTCCAACCAGACTCCGCACCACCAACAACAACCCTCTGTGCTCTGCCAGTCAGCCAGTTCTCAACCCACCCCACTGTCCACTCATCTATCCCACACTTCCTCAGCTTTGTTATAAGGATATCATGGGAGACAGTATCAAATGCCTTGCTGAAGTCAAGGTAGACTACATCCACTGCTCTCCCCCCATCCACCCAGCCAGTGACAACATTGTAGAAGGCTACCAGGTTGGTCAAGCATGACCTCCCCCTGATGAACCCTGCTGACTACTCCTGATAACCCCCTTTTCTTCCAGTTGTCTGGAGATGGCATTCAGCACAAGCTGTTCCGTCACCTTTACAGAAGCGGAGGTGAGGTTGACTGGCCTGTAATTACTTGGATCTTCCTTTGAAGACCGGAATGACATTGGTTATCCTCCAGTCTTCAGGAACCTCCCCCATTCTCCAAGACCGCTCAAACATGATTGAGAGAGGTGCAGCAATCAGCTCTTCCAGCTCCCTCAGCACCCATGGATGCATCCCATCGGGTCCCACGGATTTGTGAACATTGGTGTTGCCTAGGCGCTCTCGGGCTGCCTCTTCTCTGACTATAGGGAAGTCTTCCATTCCCCAGACCCTCTAACTAACCTCCAGGGCCTGGGATTCCTGAGGGGGAGCTTTTTCTCTGAAGACAAAAGCAAAGAAGGCATTCAGTATCTCCGCCTTCTCAGCATCCCCCGTTACCAGAACACCCTCCTGTAGGGTAGTAGGGGAGCCACATTCTCCCTAGTCTTCCTTTTATTGTTAACATACTTAAAAAAGCCTTTTTTATTATCCTTTATCACAGAAACATAACGAGAAAAGGCAAGTGTGTGTTCCAATGACCCTGAACAATGCAGAACTGCTATGTGAAGTTTAATTCCATAGCTTTTGAGTCAGCACTGACAAGCCATAAGGAACACCTCAAATGATGGTTCCCAATGCTTGAGCATTTGATGTGCTAGAGGCATAATGAATGGCAGCTGCTAATAAACTCAGTCTTTAGTCTGAGTAGTTGTATTTTTTTATATTTTTTTTCAGTTGAAAGAGGTAGAAAATGGGAGTAAGGCTTTGTAATCTTCAGCAAATCAATTAAACTTTTCTGGGTTTTATGACAAGTAAAATATGAAGATTTTCTAGAAATAAATTCAGAAATCTTTGGATTTTGATAAAGAAGAAAACCTTTTTGATCTGGGTCACTATATAGTTTAGCAGAGAGATAATTCCATGTTATAGACACCTAGAGGACAATTCCAGATTCTGAAGAATAAATCACCATTTATGATGTCCCTTCCACCTTTCCATATGTGTAATGCTGATTGCAACACTTAACACTCTGACCTCAGTGAAAATGCAGGGAGGCAATGGAAGAATTCATCTTACTTAAAGTGTCTCTCAGTCACTTCCGAACAGACACTAAGTAAAGGATAAAAATCACAGCTGCTAAAACTGGAGATAGAAAAGAGTGATCCATCTTTCTGCTACAGGACAATTTGTTGCACTGCACTGCCTGAATGAAAGTAGACACTGGGAAATGGAAGAAGAACCCTATTATTACACTATACCTTGGGAAGAAAACAAAAGCAGAAAACCCTTAATGGTAGATGAAGAATTGTCTAGCATAGGAGATGAGGTTAGACAGGAATCTCATGATCAAGCAGAAGAGGTAGCAGAGCAGAAAAAACCAGAATGTATTAGGAAAGCAGGCAAGGAAGCCAGAGGCTAGAGAATGGTTTGTGTTTATGTACATACCTGTTGCATCTTCTAACAGAAGCAGGCATAGATAGAACATATGAGAAACAGACATGCTAGAAACCATGTTTGCGCAACAGATAAGCACGTCTGGAGTTCCTATTGGTCTGTATTCATATGTGCCTAGCATCTTTGTGGCCAGCCCTCTGAAAATCTGTCTCATCCATACTGAAAGTGTGTCTCTGAGTGTTTTTGAGTGCAGAACAGTGACTGAGCGCACCCTCGGCAAGTTTGCTGATGAAGCTGAGTAGTGTAGTTGATACAGCAGAAGGAAAGGATGTCATCCAGAGGGACCTTGTGAACATAATTGAGGTTCAATGAAGCAAAGTGCAAGGTTTTGCATCTGGGTTTAGGTAATCCCAGATACGTATACAAACCGGGAGAAAAAATCCTCAGCCGCCCTGCCGAGAAGGACTTAGGAGTCTTGGTTGATGAAAAAGATATCATGAGCCAGCAGTGTGCACTTGCAGCCCAGAAAGCCAATGTTGTCCTGGGTTCCATCAGAAGAGGAGTGGCCTGCAGGGCAAGTGAAGTAATTATGCCCCTTTATTCAGCCTTGGTGAGGCTCCAGCTGGAGTACTGTGTCTATGTCTGGGGCCTCCAAAACAGGAAAGATGTGGAACTTTTGGAGAGGGTCCAAGAAGAGCAATAAAGAGGATCCAAAGAGGTGCTGGAGAACCTCTCCTACAAAGACAGGCTAAAGGAATTTGTCTTCTTTAGCTGGGAAAAGAAAAGGCTGCAGGGGAGTTCACTGCAGCCTTCCAGTGTTTAAAGGGCGTTTATAAACGTGAGGGAAATCAACTTTTTACATAGGTAGATAGTGATAGAACAAGGGAGATTTGTTTTAAATTAAAGGAAGGAAGACTTAGATTAGGTGTCAGGGGGAAGTTTTTTACAGAGAGAGTGGTAAGGTGCTGGAACAGGTTGCCCAGAGAGGTTGTGGATGCCCCATCTCTGGGGGTGTTTAAGTCCAGGTTGCATGGGGCCGTAGGCAGCCCCAGTCCTGGTCTAGGACTCAATCTGGCAGTTGGTGAAGTTGGTAAGGTCCCTTCCAACCCAAGCAGAAATGAATTGCTAATTTAATGAGCTCAATTGCTCAGTAAAGCACAGCGCTCCCCCTGTTGTAAATAATTCCAGTGATAAGATATATAGATACCCTCTCGATTTGCATGAGAATACAGAGCAGCAAAGGAAAACCAGATGTGTTTATTTCATGATGACAAGGTGACTGAAATGAAGTATTTAGCTGGGAAGGAGAGGATGAAAGCACGACTGTTTTTAAACTCCTACTCAGTTTTTAAAAAAAAAAGAGGTCACTGTAAGTTGGAGTCAGCAGTGAGAAAGCAGAAAGCAGAGAAAAATGGGATGAAATTTCCACTAACAGATGTAGTCTTGGAATTGAGAAACAGTTTGACAATAGTATTCTGTTTTGACTGAATCAGCCTCTGCTTTCATGAATCAAAGATAATAAATACAGTATTTTTAACATCATAAAATTCTCATTAGAAAAGTCCAGTCAAGTAAGTTTTTTTGGGAAAAAACATCACACCAGGTTTACACTGAGGATTTTTTAAGCCCTCAACATGTCAGATATTTTGGGAACAACTTGCCACTCTTTTATCAAAATAAACCTCAAATTCAATGAGGTGTAGACAGAAAACAGGCGTTCCTTGTGAACTTTGATGCAAGAATAAATAAACCATCCATAATGCATATTTGATTTGTTTGGGAAGTTTTTCTCTACATTTAAATTACTGTTAAACTATCTTGACAGGAAAGGGGAGGTAAAGGGCTCACTTTTTAAGCAGTTCATAACCTTCTAAGCATCACTCATTTTGGTGTCTCATTAGTATCATCAATGCCTTCAGTAGTGATGTGATTCAACAGCTATGTAAACTAATGAAAATAGTCAAACTTCACTGGGGCTGAGGTATGTACCTAAGCCAGACTCTTCACCTAATACAATTCACAGAGCACTGCCATCAATAGGGATGATGCACTTAACAGAAACAAAACCTCTTAAGAGGCAGGAGCAGGACATTCTCAGTGGATTTTCCTACCTGAAGATCCCCTTGGCACTGAAGACACGCAAAGAGAGATTTCACATTGTGTTTGGAGCACATGACACTGTGCAGGGAGCACCGTGTTTTAGTTAGCTGCTGAACAGCACAACATTATCTCCCATATTCTCTGCCTCCTCTGTCATTCACAGGGACATAGAGGCAAATTAGAAGTGTGTGGACTTCACATGTAAACCTTTAAAACAGTCATAGATCAAGTAATATATTTTAATGCCTTTTAGAAACTTGCTTTTCTCCAGACCATTTCTCCTCTACCTTATACTAATTTGTATTCAGTGCTGCTACCGTGAAAGCTTCTCTAAAAACTCGCAAGTGATCTATCATGCCTTCTCTGTTTTCCCAGTTTCTAAAATGAATTTAGATAAATTATGTAGTATATTCAATCATTTTCTTTCAGACATTTACTGCAAATATAGCCAATCATTTAACGTAAAATATAGTCATTCCATCACAATCGAAAATATGATTTATCATCACATTCAATTAGAAACCACTGAAGTCAGTGGTAAAACACCCACTCAGCTGAATAAAGATCAAGCCTGTAATTTACTGTGTCATAGGAATAAAGTGTGGAAACAGATAATGCTGGGATACGCACGGGATTCCAATTTCAAACAGATTGTTTTGAATCAATTGTTTTCCAAGCATAATGATGCTAAGCTGAATACAGAGTTCCATCAAACAGCCTCCTGGAGCACACTGTAATTAAACAAAAATGTAGAGTGTGAAGGAAATAAGACAATTAATTTAAAAGTATCCACTTAGGAGAGTCCATATGAGCCCCCTCTAAACCTGCACAAATTTTTGCACATGTGCAGAACTCATTCATCAACGCAATCTATCCTTAACAAGGTATTTTAACTCTACTCATAAAACCACATTACAGAAAATACGCAAAGCAGTGAAATAGTTAATTGTGCCCCTGGGCTACATATTTGCTTTTCAAATATTTACTGTATAATCAATGTAATAACCATAATGCAGTATCACCAATACTCTTCCAACCTGATGTCACCCAAGGGAAGAGGAAATCTTCAATCTTTCAAAGGCTTATGCATAAACTCTGCAATAAAACCCTGGGTAAGTCTGTTGCCTTTCAAGGGGATACTTACAGCAGTACTAAAGAAAAGTTTGGGGAAAATTTTATGGATTTGTACTAAATGGCCGTTGTTTTAGGCTATTAAAATCACTAGGTTTCTGGTAATTTATGGAATAAGAACCCAGGCTAGTACTACCACAGGCTTTGGAAGGGTCTTCATCAAATCATATAACGTTTGCATCTTAGTGACTGTAAAACAGATAAATTGTGAAGCCTCACCTAAGAAGGATGTCAAAACTGCAGAAAAAGACAACATACAACTGACAGAGGAAAAACTGGGGGTATATTCATTTATGTTGAAGTTTTAACAAATTGATAAACTAGTTCTCAGTAAGTGTTCTATTTTTCCCTCACTGTCTGGATTCCACTGAAGCACTGTAAATGCACCTGCTTCAATTATTTCTTTTTTCAGTTTCTTGTGTACTTACTTCTTCCATTCGGTAACCATCAAACACATACACATAATGACCAGGACGGCCAACAAATCTGAAAGTGATGACAATATAAAATAAAGAAATAAAAAGTTAACTTCAGCAACATAACTGTTATTTCATAATTGCTAAAACACTTCAGAACTGGATGCTTCAATTAATGAAAAGTAAAAGACTGAAAACTTCAATTATTTGAATTTTTTTTCAAAGTGTTATACCTATACACTTTTCCTACTACATATTGACAAAATAATTCTACTAGAATATTTTTCTGTGCTAAGAACAAAATTCTCTCTCCCTTGATTGGAGATCACAGATGAAACTGGAAATATGTATTCTAAATCACATGCTCTTGGCGTCTGAGTAATGCCCTGAAAGGAGGACATTATTACACATCTACGAATAATCAAGGTTCTTCTGAATAATTGGGTCAATGTTCTTTTCACTGAATTCGGAGAAACAATGAAATCGACTTTATTATGACCATATGACACCAAAAAATGGTTAGAAAAGAGAGAAGTCAGAAATATTTTTCATTAATGTTTTATAATATTTACATCTTCTGGTAAATTTTATCATTGATTCTTAAATGAATGATGCTGCATAGGATTAGTGAACAATATAGATTAACTAACTTTAGAGCCCCCAAAAGGAATGTAAATTGATACAAAGCAGAATTCAGAGGATGCTTTTCATACTTTTGCTGAAGTTTTAGCAAACAGTTATTTTAAGTTTCCCATTCAAAAGCATGTGAAATGCTGTGGATAATTGCATCCCAAAGGAAAATGATCCTAGACCCATAGGAAGTAACACTTCATTTAGCAGAAGAGCTGAATTAGTTTTTTGGTCAATCAGTTTATTTGCTAAAATATTCAACTTCCAGTTGACTATGTTGTAATTTAACTTGGGTTAATAGTGCAAAATGTGAAGAAAGTAATAGGGAAAATAGTTCCAAAATTTTAAACCAAACTGGAACATAGTGGTTCATGAAAAAACTTCCAAAAGTTGAAAAGTGAACACAAGTGAGAATTAGCATTCATTCACAGACCCCCATTTTTACACTGAAAGAAATTAGTTTCTAAGCTGTGGGTTATTCTTAGTACGAAAACTAAAACAACTGCATTTCAGAACAATGCTCTACTTTGAAGAAAGAATGAACAGCAGTTAAAATAGCACTTAACGTCAGGCCCTCTCATTCAAGAGGTAGGCTTAGACAATTTTTGTTATAATTGAGGGTGAGGGTGGCCCAAATCAAAATGTTAGGTGGGTCTTTGTATTTTTGAACATAAATCCAAATCTGTGTTCATGTCTATATGCACATCTTTCTATCCATCTCTCCATATATAAATACACAAAAGACATTTGTCCTACCTTCCTTTAAAAAAGGCAACATAAAAAATCGGTGCATATGAATTCACAAACTTCAATAGGAATGCCTTCAAAATCAGTCTCTCCTCAAAAGTTTTCTCTGTTTTTGGCATCTCTGGAGAAGTTAAAAAAGAAAGAAAGAAAGAAAGAAAGAAAGAAAGAAAGAAAGAAAGAAAGAAA